GTAAAGGGTTCTAGTGAAATACCTGGCAAACATGACTTGTCAACTTATGTCTCAGGGCGTTGGGCGCAGAAGCAGTGCCTCTCAGATCTAACTAGCTCAGATCTGCCCAGCGCCAACAAGATCATGACCATGATAGCTGGGGCTTGATTGAATATACATGCATAAATGAACCACTTTCGTTTGGTACATTTGAATAAAACGTGACATTATAATATACCATAGAGTGTTTAATTACTATAATTTAATTTAATTACTTCAACTCCGTTTAAAATTGAATTATGTAGTTGACATAATTAATCAATACTTATAATCAAAAACATAAATAAATAATACATAAATAACGCACACACTCAACATAGCCCCGCACTAGCGAAACCCTGTGTCGCGGGTACCATGGGCACACTCAGACAAATTACACCCAAATTGACGAAAGAATTAAATGTAGACCATATAAATATTTCTCCCGGTCCGGGAATCGAACCTGGGATCTCTGCATGACAATCCGGCATGGTAACCGTTCGGCCACGGAGGCAGCTAATTAATATGTATAATAAGTAATTTAATGTTGTCTGAAGTGAAACAATGAATATGAATTACACGATAGATAAACAACTACTTTTGGAATTATTGTCTGTCGATCCCAGGTCATTCTGTCTGGTGTTTGTCCAAGATAGCCTTCAAAATCGCTAAAAGGATTTGAGGAAGCTTTTTTTTATATAAAATATAAGTGCGTATTTGACCTCCGTCTCACCAGATGGAAAGTGACGATGAGGTCGACAATGGAGCGTGCACATCTATCTATAAATAGTGCCTATTCACTTTCGCCTTGAAAAGACCCAACTTATAACGTTCAGGGAACAAGTCTGCAGGCAGGGAATTCCACTCCATAGCCGTTCGCCATATAAATGTGGAAGCGTAACGCTTCGTGCGAATCTTTGGAATATTCACAACATAGGGGTGGAACCCAAGCCTATGCCTAGTCCCCCGGTGATGGAAAGGGGAAGGCGGAATTAAATTGTGTAATTCCATCGCACTCTTTCCGTGATATATCTTGTCACCTATAAGCCTCTTGACATGGTTGTCAATTGAATCCAAAGTCGCCAGTTGATATGTAGCAGAGCCATCCCAAAGGTGGCAGCAGTACTCCATGCACGATCGGACTTGTGCTTGGTACAGCTGAAGCAACTGGCCCGGTGTAAAGTAACGCCTCACCCTGGAAAGGATCCCAATCTTGCTGCATTTTTGGCCATGGATTCAATGTATCTGCCGAAGTTCAGATTGGACGACAGGTCCATTACAAGTAGCTGGAGACAGTCGGCTATCGGTATGGATATATCACGAAAAGTCGGAGTCAGCTGAAAGGGACTCCGTTTTGTGGAGAATAGACACGCCTGCGTTTTGGTAGCGTTAAATATGACAAGATGGGCATTGCCTCAATCGGAGACTACCTGGTGTGTCAAGTCTCAACGGCTAACCATGGACTTTCGACAAGACTGGATTTCCTCTCTACTGACCCTTGCATTGGTCAAGTACCTATCTACAACTGTGCTGTCATCAGCATTCGCAAAGGTATCTGGAATTAATATATCATTGATATGCAGCAGAAAGAGAGTTGCAGACAGTACGGAACCCTGAGGAACTCCGGCTCTATCGCCATGTGTGGAAGAGTAGCCTCCTAAGACCACTCGAATCAAACGTTCGCTCAAGAAATCCGATATCCAATTGCAAAGGTCAGTGGGAAGCACATAAGAGGGAAGCTTACTTAAAATGCTTGCGTGGCAGACCCTGTCAAAGGCTTTAGAAATGTCTAAAGAGTGTCTTTAGACTTTAGACAGGGCTTCGCCATGTCTTTCTATAGCCTCGCTACATAGATGAGAGGCGTACACAAGAAGATCCCCAGTAGATCGCCCTCATCGGAATCCGTACTCGCGACCACTGAGGAGGTCATTGTCTTCAAGGTACGGCAGGAGACGGTTATTAAGTACACGTTCCATAGTCTTGCAGAGTATGGAAGTGACTGAGATAGGTCGATAGTTGACGGGTCAGCTCTGCTTCCTTTTTTGGGCAGGTTTCACGTTTATAAGCTTCCACGACCTGAGAACTACACCAGTCTCAAGTGAGAGGCAGTACAGGCGTGTGAGAACAGGAGACAACTCAGGCGCACAGTTACGCAGGACAATTACTGGAATTCCATCTGCAAGCTTTTGGAGATTGCAGAATTTTAATTTAGAATAATGAATTTTATTATTATTTAGCATGTTATTCAGACCCTGGACAAGTGGACACCCTCAATCGTCTAATACGTTACAAAAGCATTTCAAGAGTGGCAGTCGTGGCAGTGAAAAGGGTTGGGTCACCGACAGATAAGGCACGGACAGTTGCCAACGTCATTGCCAGATCGTAAAGCCATCGGACCCTATTTATCGCGATCTCGTCGCAGATTTCAATTTGAAATATTTCTCCTGAATCCGACAGTTTTCCTTCGATAACATTTGGGGAGTGACACGAATTTTGCGAATCATTTGCGTAATGATTGGGCGTTGCTTTAAAAGCTTCTTTTGGAACCTGCAAATAATTTGATCCTATTCCAAGATACGTATTAGCATTGTGTATAGAGTATATTTGTATAGATATTAGACAAAGCCACAGACAATCAGTGTGTAAACAGAGGTTTCTAAATGTTGTGTTATTTTTAACGATAAACTATGAATACCATCATCATCGAGCCATTTATACGTCTGACTGCCGGATACGGGTCATCACTCAGGCGAAGGTTTGGTTTCTTTCACCGAAAACCTCATGGTTTAAATTTCACCCATAAATTTGGAAACATTCAGAGGTGCGAGTCCAGATTCGACACCACGACGTCTATTTGAGTGCCTCCATGCCGGACTGCTACGCAGAGGTCCCAGGTTCGATTCCCGGGCCGGGAGAAATAGTTATATGGCCTACATTTATTTCTCTCATGAGTTTGGGTGTAATTTGTGGTTGTCTATGTGTGTGTCCATAGCACCCGCGACACAGGGTTTCCCTAGTGCGGGGCTATGTGAGTATGTGCGTTATTATTATTTGAGAGGTGGTAGGTCCAAGCATTAGGCTACCACGGGTTTTACAACTATGAATATCATGTGAGCATTTTCTAGAATCCGAGTGTTCTGTACCACAAATTACGCCTAGCAATATTACGTGTTCTTTTAAAATAGCAAACTAACCTTACCCTATTTTTTTGTAATGTAAATTGTTTATTTTGATCAGTAGGAAAGGCGGGAAGCTTTCGGTAATATGCTTGTGTAACAGTGATCTCATAAATAAGAACGATTGGCTATGTATGCGTAGGATACTTATACGATTTTAACAAATGTCGAGGCTGACATTTAAGATGCAAAGTTTGTAATAAAATAACAACGTTTAGAACTAAAACATACTCCTACTCATTTGCTTCATTAATAGTCATACCTATATAGTTAAATCATAGTTTGATACTATTCTATCTACACTAATACCAATGTAAAGTTAAATTTTTAGGCGGCAATAAAATATGTCCGGATTCTCGACATGCCCAAAATAGTTGTCGTGCCATCAAACAAGTTCATTAAAATGATTAAGATAGCCAATTGTGTTACAACAACTCAATAGGTGGACATTACATCAAAAAGCTGCTTAAATATTGCAGAAAAACAAATAATTCATTTTTTGGCGATATATTGTTTAATACTATATATCGTTTCATAGTTAGGTTTTAAGAAGAAATGGAAATGTAACCATTTTTACAGATCTAAAGCGCGTATTTTAGTTTTTTCAGGTACACAAATGTTTCGGGCTATTTACAGGTCGCATGGTCACGGGATCTGTAAAGGGCCTGAAACGTTGGTTTGTTTGAAAAAAAAAATATATGCGATTTATATCCGAAAAATTACTTTCATTACCAATCGTGGTAATTTATCAACTCGTAGTTATAAAAAAATTCGATCACGCCAAAACGAGTGCGAGTGGTGTCGATTGTAGGGCACGCAGAACGCGTGTCCTTTTTAAATTTATGGGGCATGAGCTCTAGTCTACCTTAGACTGTTCTAATGAGATTCTATTTTAATATTATAAGAAAATTATTTACTCACTTAAAAAAATTTAAATTTACGAGTGTCATCTTTGCAAATTTATCAAAATTACCATCATTCACAGGAAAATGTTGTTACTGACAGTTGCCTATTGGAGTCTTTACACTCAAGGCAGAAAAAATAAGGTGTTTAATCGAGTAGAACGCCTTTCTTCCGGAAATTATCATTTTGCAGTCACGTCGACAGCGCAAAGTTGTTTCAGAGACCGTCCTGTGTTTGGACTACAAAGTGGTCAACACAGGGTCGAATTAACGAATAATTAAGATTCATTTGCACTAAATTGGTTTTAATAGAACTTGGGCGCTATTATAAATTACGGCTATGACGGATCGGGTGCTATTGTATGTTATATTTGGAACATTGTTTAATGAGGGAATCTAATTGAAGAAGGTTCACAAAAGTCTTCTAACTACGGCCTATAACTCTTTAGAGGCTAAGGAGCACTTACAAAGAGTTGATAAATATGGTGTGTATGTTGGTATGTATGTATCTTACTTATAAGTAGGTAAGTACCCATATCAATGATCCTATATACAAAAATGAACATTGTGTGCATATCCAAAAGAGCAATAGGTAAGCTAAGGTAATAAGATGCAGACAACGAAATGGGATCTCAACAGCAATTTGTATAAGCTGAGCTTTTTTATTTCGCGAGATGAAAAGATGCTGCAACTATTGCAAGTCTATTGATTTTTATAACACGCAGTTAAAATATTGTTTTTATCGATAATTCTGATGTTTACACAAAATCATTGCTTGAAAATACGTTTTTAATACCTATATTTGACTGTCTTGAAAACGCTTATCAACATTAAATTACGAAATTTTCCGATCTACTAAGAAACATTATTATTATATACAAAAGAGAATCAAAATATCACTTACGTATTGTCGGAAAATTGGAATTATCTTCGTAGTCGTATCGTGAAGTCGTTGTCGTTGGAGTATCAACACTGCACTTGGAATTTCACTCGGTGAATGCGATAATGCTACTACAGACTATGTAGTCGTATTTCAGTCCATAATACAGCTTGTACAACATGAAACGTTCGGTTTCATTCATGCCCGGCGATACGAGTTTAAAACACATGAGCTTGGGCTCGTGCTCGTGGGAGCCGGCACCAATCTGTTGTCTTTCGATACATAAACAAACTGGCGGACGGGATGAAGCTAGCTGCGTAAGCGGCTTCTACTATTGGTGCGCTAGTCGCTATATTTTCTTTAATTCTGTTCTATTTAATAGACTACCATTATTTTCATGATTATTTTCATTATTCTCTATTCCTCGTTATATTCATTATTCATTTCTATCCTTCTCAGAAATGACTGTGAATTTATTGGACGGTGTTCAATAAAATAATAAATGCAAAAATTGTTAATATCTTTATAATAATTTATTCTATACAAATTTAACTGGATAAAAGAAATCAATATAAGTACTTGGTAAGTACTTAGTATTAGTCTTCTTCTTCTTTCATCAATTTAAAATGTACTAAATTGCCACTTCAATGGGTAAAGACAAGTTTCTATACAAGTCATAGTAGGAATTTATTTCTTTCTTTTTTCAAAACGTAATAGTTTTTTATTTGAACGACTTAAAAAAGAAACAAAGCACTAAGTGGTAATGAAAGCAAATCACATGCCAAAGATTATTCGCATCGCTTTTGGACTCGCAAAATTGACATTGAGATGAGAACAACAATAGTAGGAACCCGATTAGCGCTAGTGTGACGTACAGGGAGCTTCCGCGTCTGCGCGATGGGGTCGAGTGTCTTCCCGTCCACCCCAATTTGGTCGCTGAGTCTTTGCAACTGAGTTCACAGTACAATTTCCGTTAAAGAGGGATTGACACCCTAAACACTGCTCATTCGACATGCTCCACAGGGTTTTCAACTCTCAAACAAAACCTTTAAGCTCAAATTAGATGTCTAAAAGGACATTGCAGATGCATCACATGGCAAGGGGCTATGTGATCGCAGTTTTGTATGCTTACTTCACGATCGAAAACCCCAGTTAGGGTTACAAAATAAATGCGATCTTCGATTGTGAAGGATACCAAATTGAAGTTGGAATTATATTTGAGGAAAAGATTATTTCAATGATCTCATTTCGAATTGAATACATTTGTTCCTAACCCACATTGATTAGCGTCCTGCACGTTGAAAGTAGGTTACAGAAGGCTATATACAATTCCGTAATTATGAGGGTTGAAAATATATATGGTTGAAACAGTAAGCAATTTCTCAAATTCAGCCATCCAATTGACGGGACGTACAAAGCGTGGGCCTGGTGTTAATTTTTTTATAATATCAAGTGACGGGACGAACAAGTTGTGCGCCTGATGGTAAGCGACACGCGTAGGTACGCGCATTAAAGCTCTGAGTGGCACTGCTAATGTTATAGGTAACATTAGCAGTGCCACTCAGCCTGCCTGCAATTTCACCAGCACCCTTGCCCTTCCAAACCGGAACGCAGTAATGCTCACATTACTGCTTGGCGGCAGAAGTAGGCAAGGACGAACTCTTTATATAAAATAATAAAGTGGCAGTACTTCCCTAGACGAACTCTTTCACAAGGAGCTCTACTGCTACTAAAATGATTTCAAGTTTTAAAATAAGTATATACCTATAAATAGAAATAAACTACGGTCAACTAATTTCCATGTTTTGTATATTTCTATGAATATCTTGCCCGTAGTCCTACTGGTAGAACCACAGACAAAAAAACGTTGCCCTTGTTACTACTAGTAGGACTACGCAGTAGTGAAGGGATGATTTTAGTAAGGTGTAAATTTTAAGTTACATAAAGTCACCTACATACCTACGTGGCAAAAACCACCCACATGCGTTTTTATAAAATTTAATTTTACTGATTTTTGTAGGAACAAAATTCATAAACCTCTTGGCCGAACCTGGTATGGGTACTTCACACGTTTTCCGATGCTTGTGAAGTTTCCTCGTCGTACAGGTTTCATCACGATGCTTTCGAACATCAAATTAAATTTCTCACATAAACTCAGATAACGCAAGCCCGGATGCGGACTAACGACCTCGGCTTGAGAAGCGATGGATCAAACCTCTAGGCTACCACGGCTTCGTTATCGTTATTAAATATTAAAGTAATATTGCATCTGAAACAGGTATAACTATTAAAATGCAAACTATAAACATTTGTTAGCGGCCCCATCTACTAACACCAACCCTACACCTTGCAGGCCCTTGAACAGTATAATTTAATACGTCAACAAGCCACTAGATGGCGTTGCTTTGAAAATAATATCAGTGACGTGACAACTAGGTTTCGTTATTTACGATTTCAATAATTAATATTGATTGATGAATATAGTAACTCTAATAACAATTTTAACGATAGTGGGAATTACAATAATGATTGTAAAATGGTAAAAGTGATTAGAGAAAGGGTTCATTTGATAGCCTATTTATCATGTAGTCTGCCTTCAGTTTATGATTATTTTTCTGTTTGCATTTTTTCAAATAAAAACGGCTAAGCTGCCCGTCCTATTCTTTATTTCCGCCACTCCTATAATACATTATAGAGTTTATTATATTTTTAATCCACTTTTTTCTTTCTTCATTCTGAAAAATTACAAAGAAATCACAAATAAGGTATTCACTCTATAACGAGAGGTACTTTTTAAATTAGAAAAAAAAAACAGAACATATACGAAAAGGATTCATCATAAAATGCAACAGTGTTTTATAATTTGATTTAATATAATAATTTAATAAAATACACAGAAACATTTAAATAGTATAGAAATTGTTCATAAATTGACACTTACAAAATTAAATGGCAGTTTGGTCAGGGCCAAATCTAAGTATGTATGCTTACATTTATTTAGGTAATTAAGAATAATTTCATACACCTAAATTATATTTAAAATAATGTTATTTCTTATGTATTAAGATAAAAAAGATCATAAAATAAAGTAGCAGTAGCTATTATTCAATTTCTTCAATCTTCAATCTATTTTTAATTTAAAATTGGATAAAAGATCCATGATTATGTAGGGTGATGGCAGTAATGATCGTAATTTTAAGAGACATTTTAATTGTGTATTTAAATTTGAAATACCTATTTGTTATATCATTACTGATTATATAGTTAACTTGATAGATATAATCCTTAAAAAAGGTTATGTTTTATAAAAAAGCAATTATAATTATTATCGTAAATGAAACTTATTTTTCGGATCTAAATCGCGTATATTTGTTTTTTCAAACAAACTACCGTTTCGTCACCTGTGACCATGGTACATGGAAAGGGCCCGAAACGTATCGGGCCCTTTATAATACTCGCACCTGGGTTTGCGATTGGCGCTGCGCGTTGTAGTGTTTCACAACACGCACCTGCTCATGGGGCGTTATCGTTGGCCTATAAGCCTGATTGCTCATCACTCATAACCGAGATATACATTTATTTGATAACAGTGGAAAAAAAAATGACGTTTTACAAGGAAGTCTATGTTTGTATTAATCGAGTAATAATCTAAATTTTATTTGTATAAGAGTTTTGTGGTTTTGTCATTTTTTAATCTATATTTTTAATTCTCCTTTTTGGTATTTCTAATCTATGTACATTTTTACATTTTGGGAAGCTGTAAGTGCATCGATCTATGTAAATAAACAAATTCCATGGTCACTACTGACTGAGAAGGTAAAGTCAAGAACCAGTTATATCTAACGTTAATAGATTACTATAGTGAAAAATAGGGTGGTTTGCATTTTAATATTACACATAACTGGTGGATAACTATTTCATCTCAGTGATGCGTGACCAAGAGACCCGTAAAAGGGTCCGAAACGTTTGAAAAACCAAAAACACGTGACGTAGATCAGAAAAAAATTTCATTTCCAAACTCTACATAATCTAAAAGTTTATCTATAACCTCCTAAGGCTCCGTGTACATTAAAACATACATGATATGTAAAATGATTCAGATCCAGCCAATATTATTCCTATGATTATGTAAATGCCCATTGTACACTGTAATGAAAATATCGCATTTAAATTTATCGTTATATATTGTATATAACGATAGGGCATCTAGAAAAATACGTTTTTCATACAAAACTGAGGAGATACTTGATTGGGCCTGAAGCCTATAATTACATTTAGTGCATTTTAACGTACATTGGGCGTTTAGCGCCATTGTACTTCGCCGGGTCTTAGGAGGATAAGTGTATTAACACTCGTGGTCGTAATTTATCACACGAATAGTAATTATGTAATAGTACACCTAGTCCCTTTATAAATAGTCACAAGAAGGAGGATACATATTTTACTTGATATGAAATCGTATAACTTTAGTTTACAATACAATCAATACAATAAATATTTAATAAATTCAAAAAGGTCTCCCAGTCAACATATCATTACAATAGAGAAATAAAACCTTAAGATACAGGCTCTAAGTTTCAAAATTACTATTAAAATCAGAGATCGACATCAGCAGTATCAATGCCTTATTATAAGCTTATTATAAGGGCTGTTACACACGGCGACTTTTAGCAGCAATGCAAACGCGATGCAAACACGATGCAATAACGACGCAGTCCCTAATCGTCTATCTTAACACACACACGCGATTTTAAGCAGTGATGCAAGCGCGCGATTGCACCGTAGCGGTGCTTAGGATTTATAGGTGATTGCATCGACGTATTGATGCAGTTAGCATTCGCTGCTAAAACTCGCCTAGTATAACCACTGTAATACTTACACATAATTATAACGTACCGTTGCGTTGCGTGAATTTAAGTTTTATTGGTAAATTTTTTTATCAATTCACATTTATTCTTGAAACAGACCTTTCTTAACAAATATTACAAGTTAATTAAATAGTAATAATTAATATTTACGTAAACGTATTAATGTTGTGCAAAACAATACCACTCTCGTGTCCAAATAACACCTATTTGTGCTTAATTAACAATTTTAAAAGTAACTGAAAATATTTAACATTATGAAATTCTAACCATTTATTACAAACTAAGGTTTTATAACACTTTGGGTACGAAGTTCTAGCTTGGAGCTAATTTAGCCTTGCTTAATACAAACAACGTAGTATTCTTTTTTAATAGCAATGGAGCTCCTTGTGAAAGAGTTCGTCGTTCAATAATGTGACTATTACTGCGTTCTGGCTTTGAAGGGACTTGTCAATATGTATCTGGGTGACGGGCGCAGTGGTAGTGCCCCTAAGATCTGTACCTAGTTGGACTAATAGATAAACTTGGTTGAAAAGTTATATTTTATTTTTATTGAATAACTGACACGTTTTTACTAGGAACTGCATCCGAATATTTTTAAGTAGCATTCGACACCCGAGTCAGTCTATGTAGAATTCTTGCGGATACGGGTGTTCTGCAGGCCACGACAAGATCGTCGGGAACAGGCCTTACTCAAAGCGCTTGCCGAGTACTAAGTAGTGCCAATTAGCCAATCAGGGATTGATAATTCGGTAGCATGTAGTGCAAGCAGCAGCCTGTTTGTTTGCTAAACAAACATTATTGAGTGTTTTATAGAATGTCAAGATGTTTCATCACCATACATTCAATCACTTTTTATGAAATGACTCCACTACTTTGTTATAATTAATAACACAAAAATCGAACACTTAGAAAAAATTCCTTCGATCCGGCCGGATTTGAGCCGACATCTTCTAGCAAATCGTGCGTCTGCTATGCCAACTAAGACACGGAACGAATCAGCGCACCTCACGAATTTTTCGGTGCTTGTTTGTCGGATCTTTGTATCTGGTTTTTAACGATTTTTTAGCCGTAGCGCCATCTATAAGATATCTATGAAAGTATTTCGTCAAGTAGTTAGTTTTTTTTCTGTCCGCAAAACAATCTTTAAAAACTTTAATAATAAATGTCGTAATATTTCTATGCATTCTATCTTTTATCTCTTTGGAATAAAATTATGTAATATTATTTACTATCTGTTACTTAAGCTATTGATATTTCAAAGATCACCAAATCTACAAGGATCCACATTATTCCGAGACATTTTTTTTCATACATCCGTATATGCAAATTTCGACGATGAAAAATTCACTTCCGCGTTCGTATCTGCAGATGTCGTCATAACCTACATCTGGGCATCACTGGTTTTGACTACCATCAACATCTATATTTTGTGAAAGTACTCCGCTAGTTTGTTATTATTATAAAGATCGAATAAGCACCAAAATAATTGTTCCGGCCTTACTCGACTCGAACCAGTGTCTGTCGCCTCGATATGGCTACGTGTTGGTTGCATTCCATTATTATATCGCGTATTCTAATAAAGCGGTTGATTCCTATTGGGAGCTCCACCATTGAATCTTTTTTTGGAATAATATGGACTTCGGTTTACTAATTACCCTTCCCTTTAAATTTAGGTAAAGGAAAACAATGATGTAGAAACGTTGGTGAAGGTTCATATATCATTCGGAATGGACTATTGCCTAAATCTGTGCCCAACATTGCCAATCCAATCACACTGGATCCAAGACAGAGCATCATTTATTTCGAGACATTCAAAAAACCAAGTAGATTCCCTGGCCACACGACGGCTCTTTTAAGGCACTTCGTAGTAAACCACGACCTCGATAAAATTCATTCAAATACATGGCAAATGCGTAATATATATTTAATATATATATATATATATATATATTTAATATATATTTTTTTGTTTTTTTTTTTCATTATAGCGTTATTTTTCTATTGCGTTTAATAGAATGGTATAAACTTGGGCCACGGGTATGTAAATAACGAGTTTTTGCGCCAAGTAATTTTTAAATATATATTTTTTTTTAAACTGATATGCCAAGACCCTCGATATTTACTTGCGCTGCACTCGCGCCACTACTAATTTTCATACTATATCTAGTCTGCAAAAGTGGTGCGCGCGATAATAGAGCTGTAACTGCGCTTCTAAATATTGTATGAAAATTAGTAGTGGCGCCACAGACGCGCCACTGATTAGTTTTAATTAGTGAATATCCGAAGTAAACTTCAGTCGCCCCATACATTTTCAAGCAGGTGACCTAGGGTATGACCAGGGCCGAATCAACAAATTTAAATAATTCTGCTGCACGATTAAAGGTCCTTTGCAGCCACATTTAGTGTGAAATTGGTTAAAACCACCTGCTACAATTTTCACAAATAAAAATATTTAAAATGCCATTAATGCATTTAATTTCGCTAGGATTTTATTCTCATAAATAAAATCAGTCTTCTTAAATAAGAACAGGTTTAAAATACGTTTAATATAAATTTCATGTAAATCTCTTATGAATATTAATTTTAGAAAATGTATTCTTACCTTGTGGCACAATTTTTGAGATCAAATTCTAGAAAATTAATTTTAAAGGGAATGTATAAAATCACAGATGCGATAGTGATTAGACCAAGCGAGCAAAACGCCCATAATAAAATATGGCTTACAGCCTCTTAGAGCTAGTTCATAACCACGATCTCTTACAAGCTCAAGTTCTAAGTCAATTATTTTGAAAATAATCATTTAAGTAAACATTGATCTACCAATTGAAATATTATAATGATAAGCATACCGCGTGCCCCACCTTCAGCCACCTAAACTAACGTGCGGAGAAACGACTTAGAAGTCGACCAGTGTTGCATTTAAAAATTTCCCAGTCCCTGCGACTTCTGAAAATGATACCATTATCAACAAAAAACATACCCTAAACAAAGAGAAATTCGAAAAATTATTTTTATGAGTTGGTTGGTTACAACCTCTACCAAAGCAGTGAAGATATTTATTCAAAAGATAATGGGTTCTATTTTCACAGAAGAGAAAGAAATCCTACTCTTTTTAAATAATACT